TGAATATTAAAATAGAAACACTAAATTTATTGGAAGAGAAAGTAGGTAAAAATCTTGAAGATGTAGGGGTAGGCAGAGAGTTCATGAACAAAAGCTAAACTGCATGGGAAATACTTCAAAGAATCAACAACTGGGATCTCATCTCATTGAAAATTTTTTGCACATCTAAAGAAATCACCAGTAGAGTGAAAAGAAAACCCACGAATTGGAAAAAAATTTTAGTCAACTGCCCCTCAGACAAAGGACTTCTATCTAGGACATATAAAGAATTTAAAAAAAAATCAAGCCCCTAAAATTCAAAGACCCAATCCAAAATTGGGCATCTGAGATGAATACACACTTCTCTAATGAAGAAATACTAATGGTGAATAAATACATGAAAAAATGTTCAACATCATTAGTCATTCAAAAAATGCAAATTGAAACAACACTGAGATTTCATCTCACCCCAGAACGAGTGGCTATCATCAAGAAATCAACCAACAACAAATGCTGGAGAGTCTGTGGGGAAAAAGAAACTCTACTCCACCGCTGGTAGGAGTATAGACTGATGAAACCACTGTGGAAATCAGTTTGGTGATTCCTCACAAAACTAGGATTGAAAATCCCACTTAACCCAGCTATTCCTCTTCTGGGTATTTTTCCAGAAGAATTAAAAACATCATACCACAGTGATATATGTGCACCCATGTTTATAGCAGCACAATTTGTTATAGCTAAATCTTGCAAACATTCCAAATGCCCATCCACTGAGGAATGGATAAAAAAGATGTGTTATTTTTATACAATGGAGTATTACACAGTTATATAGAAAGATGAACTCAAGGCTTTTGTAGGTAAATGGATGCAACTAAAGACCATACTCATAAGTGAAATAAACCGAACCCACATGTGCAAACATCATATTGTCTCCCTAGTATAGGAACCTGAAAGAATAAGTAAAACTCAAAATGTACAATAGATGATACGAAAGGGAAAGAAATTGTTCAAAGGAAGGAACAACTGGGGTGAGGGAAAGAAGAAAAAGAAGGTCATAAAAAATATCTATATCTATATATATCTATGTATATCATCTATCTTATATATGAATAGCTGGGATAAGTGTACAGCTGATGTGTGATGGTATATTGAAAGGAACAGTTAATTCTTAAAATTTTTTATGTTCTGAACAATTTTGCATGCTTATATCTGATAATCTGAGCAACTGATTTGAAGACAACAATATGCAATGGAACAACTATTGGTGAATTCCTACCATCTTGTCTACTGAAACTGTATTATCTCTAATGTTTTATCTAATAATTATTTTTTATTCTCTTTAATGGCTTGAGTAATCTTCCATTCTTATATCTGGTAATCTGAGCAACATAGCTGAAGATAACAACATGTAATATAACAACCACTGTTAACTCCTAACATTTTGTTTTCAAAACCTGTATCATTTTTAATGTTCTTGCTTTGTTTTGTTTATGTTTGTGATGTTGGTGTGCTGCTATTGTTCTTTTATTTCTTTCTTTTACTACTCTCTTTAAAATAAAAATAGATAAATAAATCTTTTGTTTAAAAAAAAAGAAATACAGAGAATGAAAACTAAGTGCCTGAGGAGAAAAAATTCTTATACCACTCTGTCAGATACAGAAATCAGAATTATTAATGTAAAAATAACTGGTGAACGGTTTCAACAATTTGGAAATTGTGATGGAAGAATGAAGTTTCTTTCAGAAGAGATGGCCATTATATGGAGTTCCAGGAGTTCAACTTTTACTAAGGGTCTATGATGATTTGATCAGGTTTCTTGCATATGTACAGTAAGGTTTTTAAGTAATTCAAGGGCTCTCTCCTTTGCTCTTCTCTCTCTTCTATATACACAGACACATAGACAGAGTGTATTTGGATACATGACTCAAGTTTTAGAAAAAGCACAACATTGCATTGTAATCCATTTTATAGAAGTAATAGAGCACGAATGAAATTTTTAGATCTTTCAACTGATCCTGGCTTAATGTTGCGTGTGTATTTTCATTTACAGATTGACCTATTATGGCCAAGTCTTGCTGTATCTAAGTTGAAATATTCTCATTAGGTTCTTAGTGATTATGGCTTATTCTTTTGCTAGTCATTCTTAAATTTAATTCCATATATATACACACACACACACACACACACACACACACACACATATTATATGTTCTTTCTCACTCGATTGTAGTTGCTTGAACAGCCATGACATTGCATTTATCTTTACCACTGTGCTAGCACAGTGGTCTGAACAAGGCAGGTGCTGGTTAAATGCTTTTAAAACATACTGAGTTAACTTTTACACGTGATGTGAAGGCATGTCATGGCATTTGTGATTACTGAGCTCATTCTGAGAGGAAATACAAGGAGCTCATCTTAAATCCTACACCACACGACACTGACAGGATGACAGATAAAGAACAGAAAGACCAAATCAGTCAGGACAAAGGAAACGAGAACCCAACCGAAACTCACTCTGTAGTCACTGGACGTCACGTAGAAGATGGGCAGGAAGGCCAGCCAGATGATGCAGGTGGTGTACATGGTGAAGCCGATGAACTTGGCTTCGTTGAAGTTCTCGGGGCACTTCCTCGTCTTGAAGGCGTACACTGTGCACAGGATCACCAGGACCACATCGTAGGCCAGCGAGATCAGCATGCTGGAGTCACGCACGTTGCACTTCAAGATGACCGTCTCCCGCTTCTCGGGGAGAGTGTACCTCCGGGTGCCGGGGGCCTCCAGGACAAGCCACACAGACACTACTACGACCTGCACCAGAATGAGACCCAGGCAGATGAAGACCTGAGAGCTGGGGCTGATGAACTTTGGCCTCTGCGCGCCGTTCTTGACCCCATCGAAGATGCGGGCGATGCAGTTTGTCTTGGTCAGCAGGGCTGAGTAGCAGATGGCGAAGGAGGTCCCCAGCCCCAGCCGGCGCAGTGCGCAGATGACAGGCGACGGCTTGGCAATGAAGAAGAATGTCATGCAGTAGGACAGGCTGACCCCAAACAACAGGATGTAGCAGAGCTCCCGGCCCGAGGCTTTGACCAGGGGCGTGTTGTTGTGCTTGATAAACACAGTTATGACCACACAGGTGCACATGAAGCCCAGGCAGGCGATGGTGACCGGGCCAATGGCCCAGGCGTCTTCCCACTTGATGTAGTCCTCAGGAAGGTCGAAGCATCCCGACAGGTCAGCGGTGGGCCAGCGCCCAGGCCCACAGTCCATGCAGGTGAACTCGTCGGCCAGGTACTCGTAGGACTCGCAGGGAATGCAGATCCAGCAGCAGACGTCGCCGGGCTGCATGCTCTTCATCTCATTGGGTGCGCAGGGGTCACTGCACTGGGACGTGGGGACTGAGTCCTGGGCCCAGTGGATGGAGTCAGCATCCAGGGATAGGGTTTCTGCCCAGTGACCGACCTTCAGGTAGGAGTACTTTCCACCCGTGTCCTGGAAATTGAACACATTATATCGTCCCATTCCATCTCCAAAAGTGTCAAACTTGACGATGCTGTCTTCATCTTTATTTGTGATGAATGGTGCTGTGATGTGGAGAATGAAAGGGGGAGAAAGAATGCTTGATTAGGTATCCTATGTGTGATCAGTCAATTACTTTGTGACACACACTTAGCAAGACTGACATAAGTGCGATTCATCAGTTACCATTGAAAGTACACATCAAAAGCTCCAGCATGCTTATGCATTCATAGATTCACTGTCTTGACACAGAGCAGGCAGCACAGGAGCTCATCATGTAGGAAGGGAGCTGCAAGCCTGCAGCCATGCGCTGCGTGCGTGCAGATGCTCTTCTCCTGAGAGCTCCCACACAGGAAACGGGCACAACTTCAGGATCATTAAATATTTATTTATGTACAGTCATCAACATGTTTCCCACTTTATTTTCATGAAAATATAAAGTCAAGAAGACTTTTGTTCATTATATATCATGACTTCTTTTAAATAGTTCAGATGGTTCACAAAGAAAAAACTTAAAATCATTCATAATCCTTCAACTCTGAGTTTGTTTGGAGTATATTCATTCTGATTACACATATCCTTGTGTCTGTATCTAACACTCCTATCAGTGTTGCCAAGTCGGGGTAGCATCTAGGTGAGTGTGCATGTCCCCAAGGGCACTGGGAAAGTGGCTTGCTTCAGCCTGTCCCTGTCCTGCACTCCGTGACCCCCGAGAGCAGGGGGTCTCTGAGCTTCTAACTGCAGCTCCCAGGTCTCTTTGGGTACCATCAGCCGCCACCTCACCACCTTTTGTACTAAGTTCTCCAGCACAGTGCTTTTCTTACATAGCAGCTTATATTTATAAGGAATACTGCATTCAATCAAGCATGCTCCAGAGAAAGACCGTGAGCATGGAGGGAAGCTGTGCTTCCTGAGTGTCAGCCTCCCTTGGCCTCCAGAGATGTTCACAATCAGGCTCCCAGTCCTTCCTTGGCACTGTCCTCAGGACGTGGCCAAAGCCTGCTTCCTGAGTGGTGGCCTGCCGAGTCTGTGCACCCGTGGTCACATGTTGTGCACACCTGCTGTGAGCTCACTGTTTCAAAGGTGTGTGAGAAAAGCTAGCTCTCTGTGTGGCTGGGGAACTGCATGTGGCAGCACAGCAAGGGGCCTAGTGCATCGATCCTGCTGCCCCCTGGATGCATTTGGAGTCATCCCAGGCCAGCTGGCACTATAGGGAAATAGAGAGGCCCAAGGAGCAGAACCACTGAGTCTCTGGTCATCAGCTATAGCGTTCTGTAGCATGGTAGAACTCTGCGGAGCTTGGTGTTTTTCACACTGGACCTCATGAGGAAGCAAGATCGACGGAGATGTGACAATAAATCACTTCACCTTTGAAAGGCAGATGACATTACTGGTGCTGCAGTACCATAAAAGAACACAAACTAAAAGGAGGAAAAGAAGAATGACCAGCAAGATGGCAGAAGTCTAAACAATGACTTAGAATCTTCTCCAAAATCTAATTTCAAGCTCCTCATCACTCTAATGCCTCAGAATCAGGGCCTCATCTTCAGAGGAAGCCTGCTCTGGACACAAGTCATGAGAATGGCTTCTTGGGGTAGTCCACGATCTGATTAGTGCTGACCCCAGTTTCAAATAGATTTATTTGAGAGGTTTAATACCAAGGAGACCAGCCCTCCCAGGGCCCATTTGGTGGAAAGGAGTCAAGTCCAGTCCTTAGAAATATCACAGGTCAATAGCAGGAGGAAATTAAATGGGTTCTTCCTTTTTCTTTTTCTTTCCTCTCTGACAGAAGACCAATTAAGGAAAGACAGCAGCATGGCTGGGAAGAGGCCCTGAGGAAAGGGAATGGGGCCCACACTGCCCAGGGCCACATTCATAAATTCTAATGAAGATTGTACTGCTGGGCTCACGACTGTCCCTGAAATCATCTGAGGAACTGCAATAAAAATACAGGCGAGAAGACGGAAGACCGTGTCTCCCCTGCAAGAGGTGAAGAGATGAAGGAACCAACATCTGCCTACAGCAGACAAAACCACTTACAAACACCGTGCAGCCAGAAGACAGAAAATAGCAAGAGCGGTTCCCCACCTGTCACAACCTACTGATCAGGACAAGGCCGAGGGAGCCTTTCTCACTGTTCCCACCTGAGCGATCAGCAGCTGGACAGCGCACCACTTTGCCCTCTTGGGCGCTTATTCTCCTGTGAAGAAGGATCAGGTAGGACCCGGCCCAGGGAGAGGCACCTACAAGGACTGCGTGTTGCTTTGGGAGCTGTGACCCTTCAAAGGGACGTCTAGAAAAGGACTCTAGAAGGGTAACATGGCCAAGGCTTCTGGATGGACACTCACTGCTTCCCTATGCACAGTCTGCACCCTAGCGCTGAATTTCAGCACTCACAGGGTTTGGAACAGAAAGCTCTACTATTAGACCAAGGGTGAAGAGTGGGGAGACAGGTGTGGAGAAAACAGCAGCTGGTGGAAATGAGTGAGCCCACCCCGGCCCCCAGTTCAGGGCGCAGGGTCAGGTGGCCTGACTCTCAGTATGTATTTTAAAATTGCTGGAAATCTCACCGTGGCCACTGATGCTTTGGGAGGGCCCTCTTCAGTGTGAGCTGCTGCTATGACCTCAACTCTTTCTAACCTGTTTCTCCCACTCCTGCCCCTTCTATATAAAGCTTTTCTGTCATCTTAATGAGTGCTTAGCTTTACAAAATGTTTTCACTGAAATATAATATGCATGTAGAAATAAGCAAATGATAACAAAGTGAACACGCATAGCATCATGGCTGCTGAGAACATGGCCTGTCTCTTGCTCCTGTCCCTGTCACTTAGCCATTCCTTTCCTACAAGGCCACGACCACCTTAACTCCCACTAAGTATGTTAGCGCTGCTGGAACAAAGTCCCGCCAACTAGACATCCTGAAAGGACAGAGATTTACTGTTTCACAGTCAGGGCTGAAACCAAAGTGCCAGCAGGGCTGGTCCCTGCGAGGGCCATAATGAGGAATCTACTCCATGCCTCTTCTGGCTTCTGCAGTGTTACCAGTGCTCTCTGGTGTCCTTGGCTTGCAGATGTGTCACGCCCACTTTCCACGATCACAGGATCTCTTCTCTGTGCCTCTGCCTGTCCAAACTTTACCTTTATATAAAGACACTGGTCATACTGGATTAGGGCCATCTTAGTCACTTTCTTCATTGCTGGAAACACAATACCTGGCACCTGTGAGCTAAAGGAGGGAAGGTTTATTTTAGCTCACAGTTTGTAGAGGTTTCAGTCCATAATCCACTGACTCCAGGGCAGAGCAGGTTGGCAGAGAGTGTCCAAGGGGAATAGCTGCTCAGAGCATGGTGACTGAGATGCAGAGAGGAAAGGGAGGAGCTGGGATGGAAGTGAACTTGCTAATCTTTGTTGATAAAAAGAAGACCAATAAGAAGAAACCAAGTACACTACAATAAGACAATAGGAACTTCTAGGCCACAACCCCAGTGACTGCCTCTTCTGACCAGACCCTACATCCTAATGGTTAGTCAGCTGTAATGCCCCCATACTCCAATCACCTTCCAGAATCCCTGCTTATGAGTATGTGAGGCTCTTGGTCTTGGGGGACATCTAGATATAAACCATAACATTCTGCCCCGGTCCCCCCAGGACTCATGTGCATTCCTTTATCCAAAAGGCACTTAGTCCACCTCTAAGAGTTGCCCAAGTCCTAACAGTTTCAGCAGTGCTGAAAAGTTCAAGTGCAAAGTCTCCTCTGAGACTTCAGGCAAATTCTTAGCTGTAAGCCCCTATAAAAATCAAAAGAAAGTTAAACACTGCTGGCACACAATGGCACAAGGTAAACATTCCCCTTCCAAAAGGGGATAGAAAGTAATGGGACCAAAGCAGGAACAAAAGGCAGTGAGGCAAATCCCACAGCTCCATGTTCTGGGGCAAGCTATGGGAAGGTATGAGCCCCAAAAAACTTGGGCAGCCCCACTTCTATGACATTGCTGATGATTGCAGTTCTCACAGTTTTCTCTTGGACAGGCTTTACTCACTCCTTGTGACTTTCCTCAGATGTTCCACATTCTTGGCTTCTCCAGCTTCCTGGGGTCTCCACTCCACTGCATTTTTGGCTTCATCCTTATAGCTTCATGTATGGCCCACTCAGGGGCAACCTGCCTGGTCTCCCAGGGTTTCTTCTGAATTTTGAGTGGAAGCTTGCCTGAGGCCACAACTTTTACATTCTGCATGCACATAAAACCAACATCAGGTGGATGACACCAGTGTCTGCCACAGATCTAGCTGAGCCTGATCCTTTTGCATCATGACTGCAGGGGCTTCTGAGTACCTGGATGGCTGAGAGCTGTGAACTGAATCCCCAAATTCCCTAGATGGCTGTTCTTGTGCAGGGTACACTGGGGCTCTCTTGTCGAAACAATCCTTCACTTTTACAGTGATCCTGTGATGGGTGAGGTCTTTATAAGTTCTGTGATGCTCTCAGGTCATTTTTCCTATTGTCTTATTGTAGTGTACTTGGTTTCTTCTTATTGGTCTTCTTTTTATCAACAAAGATCTCCTTTGCCCCATTTTTACAGACCCTTTCTGAAGAAACTGAAAAGTTTTTGCTTTTAAATTTTTTTTTTGCTCCTGATTTTAAGTACATATCTGGCTCAAAGCATTAGACAGCATCCATGCTGCATCCTTTAATCTTAGTTTTCTGCAAAATCTTAGGATGTGAGTAAAATGTAGATGAATTTTCCATCGGAGTATTACACACATGGTCTGGAGTCCAACTGCCAATGAGTCATCCCCTGCTGAAACCTCCTGATGCTGGTCTTTACCAGCTGCATTACTGTCAGCATTGTGGTCTTCTGTGTTCTCATCATAATCTCCAATTAATCTCAGCTTACAGCATTCTCGGTCTGCTTCTCCAGCCAGCAACTCCAAACTTTTCCAAACTCTTTCCATGAAGCAGTTCTACAAGCTTTTGAACCACTGTCAGGTAGCTGCACAGCAGTGACCCCACTCCTGGTACCAAAGTCTATTTTAAGTCACTTTCTTTCTTGCTGAGACACAATAC